TCGACTCGTACGTATGGTTCTCCATATTTCAATACCCACAAACAATTCTTGCCTTGGCGTTCCCTCTATCGGGATCGGCCGTAACTAAAGTTTAGCTGTGCATGAAAGCATTTGGTGCAATTAGCTGTGAAATCTCGAAGTCTGTTCTATTCTTATTTCGGTGGTCTTGAAATTATTTCATCGTTGAGTAGATTCTGTGTTAGTAACCTTTGTCCGTGAATTTGTGCTTGAAAATTGTGGTGATATAATCGAAATCTGCGAGGTACATTAATTTATAGTTTTATAATATATTGTAGGTGCGTCATATTGTGATTTTATTTAAAAATAGTATTAAAATATATTAAAATTGTCCGTCAATCACAATAAAGTAATATAAGATAATTAGATGGTTAAAATATTATCCTTTGTTCCGTATCGAGTACTCGATTTACATATGGAACATTCTCGACATGTTTCGGCTTTCATAGAGCCGTCATCAGGTGTATGTTATAAACTCTTAATTCAATTACTAATTTTTAATTTTTTAATTTTCTTATCATTTCTTCGTTTTTCCTTGTATCAACTTATTTGATGTGTTATATAACATTGATGTAATCGTATTGTCGGAGTGATGTTGATGCTGCGTATATTGGTCAGAGAAGTAATATCGAAGTTGTAAAAGGAGAGATCAGATGACGGCTCTATGAAAGCCGAAACATGTCGAGAATGTTCCATATGTAAATCGAGTACTCGATACGGAACAAAGGATAATATTTAACCATCTAATTATCTTATATTACTTTATTGTGATTGACGGACAATTTTAATATATTTTAATACTATTTTTATAGTTTTAGTTTAACCGGTTCTAACACTTGGTTAAATTGTTTCATGTTCAGGGCTCCACAAATTTTATATAAATTTATAAAATAAATGCAAGAATTATTAGCCATAAAAATCGTATCAGAAATGGAAATAATATTTCAGGCAGGATTTGAGGTTCTGGCGGATGTGAATAAGAAGATGGCTGTCTTTTGGGTCTGATAGAAGTTTACCGACGTTTCAGAGGGCCTTGCTGCCTCAATCATCAGGGCCTTGAAACGTCGGTAAACTTCTACCAGACTACACGGCGCCATAACCCTTAGAACCGTCATATTTTGCTGTTTATAATGTTATGAAATACACAGGTTTCCACAATTAAAATGAGAAATATCATGAATTTGAGAAAATAATTTTATGATATGTAAAAATAAAATATATCATAATAATATGTATAAAATGTAATGTGCTAAGGAGACCTGGAATTTTCGCAGGCCCGTTGAATCTTACGTAGCTTATATAATTTATTTATATATCTTTTAATTGAAGCGTACATTTTTACTTTCGTATATTCGTTTATAGTTTTAATTTGTAAGTCTATTTTATCAGTCATTCACATAACTATTCAGAGCCAGCATGCGACTTGGAAAATACCTTAATAAATCCCAGTTAAGGCAGATGATTATGTGGTTAGAAACGTAAATAACCCACTCGTCAGTCTACGTAGTTATTATCTAGACGTGGACTTGAGCTCTCTTTTGGCCTTTGGTGGAATGTGATTGCTGTATTTAAATCAGTATTACAATAGACCTTAAATAAGGCGTAGGGTTTTTTTTGTACTAAGTGTCCGGAAGGAGCTATTTTGTAATACCCACGGATTTCTAAGTCTAGTGAAAAGGCTTATGTATTTAAAATATAATTTTAAATAATTATGAATTGTTTGTAGTAGCTGAACATATGATAATCGTAATTTATAGACAGATCAATTTTTAAAATTATATTTAACCCTTTAAAGTCTAGTGGTAACTATATGTACCACCTAATCTGAAAATCATTAACTCTGTATTTTGTACTTAGGTGTTTTGTATGTTTTGCAGAGTAAACAAAGATTATTTTATTAAATGTGGTTAACAAATTGATCTTTGTAATGTTGAAGTGCTGTTTTCTCTTTGCGGTGCGGAATGGATTCTTAAATATTACTTAGAAGAGCTTCGGTTTATTAAAAGAGTTAATTATAATACACCTTTATTATTACGGACTTATATATTTTTTAAATATATATTAAAATTAAACACTAAATATATGTGTAGTCATTTGACGTATTATACCTTGTAGCCTTGTAGATTTTTATAAACTTTTTGTGAGAGGTGTTTTCTCCATATTCACTCGCATCCATTCGAATTTTTCAGACTCAGGACTAAATATGATAAGTAAAATAATAAATGGACGCCAAAAATTTGGATTTATTCTTAATATTACTATTATCATAATAACATATCTTTTCATTTTTAATATTACTGTTATCATAATAACATATCTTTTAATTTTAAATCTAACCTACATCTAAATCGTCATAATTTTGTTAAAACAAAATCTACCACAAATGATTTAGTTACTTACTTAATGTTTTATATTCTTAAGTTGATATAATTGCGTCATATTGTGAATTAAAATTTAATTTTTCGTGTTTTTTTCCGTCTAATCACAATTGTATATAAATAAAATTATACATAAGATATTAAAATATCATTTACATATTTGGTACAAGTTTTATTTTATTTTATAAGATTATAATTTTAACTTTTAACTTTACACCTGAAGATGGTTTTAATGTAACCGAAACATATAGTAAAAAGTTGTACCAAATATTTAAATGATATTTTAATATCTTATGTATAATTTTATTTATATAGAATTGTGATTAGACGGGAAAAAACACGAATAATTAAGTTTTATAGTCTGTTTGTTCTCTGGAGTTGTTTCACTCTGTATTTTGATCTTACGTAGGCCTTAAATGAAGTTTCTCGTATTATTTTATTAGCCAAGCGTAATAATTTTTGACCACATTAATTTCGTATTAAACCAAAGCTACATGTCAAATAGAAGTTCCTTTATTCGTATCTTAAGAAGGTTTTCTTATCTTCTCCATGTATCGTCTGCAGTAACGTGATTTTTCTCTCGGACATGTATTAAAATATATGTTAACGACCTTTCTGATAAAATTGACAATTCAGAATTTCTGTTTTTTTTTTCCTGATAATCTGAAAATACATAAAGCCCTTTGAAGTTTGCAGATCAAAGAAAACTAACTCTTTGGAGAGGAATAATGTTTGAGAAGCTAATTGTACGTCCTGTTAGTCAAAACCTAACCCGATGTCTATTGAACTAGAAGGTACAGTGCTATGTTAATAAGAGCCAACCACAGGTCCCTATACTGAGCCATATGAATCCAATCTACACCCCCAAAATCATGTTTTCCTAAGACCAAATTTAATATCTGTCTATCTCCGCCTATTTTTCTGAGTGGTCTCTTGTTTTTAGATTTTCCAAGTAGAATTCTGTACGCATTTATCAGCTTCTGAACTCACGCTGCATACCCATATTTTATCATCACAATAATATTTATTATCGAGTACAAATTATGGATTTTTCTTAATACAATTTGTTTAAAATCCATCTCACTTAATGCTTTTTAGCCAATATCATCGGTCTCTGTTCGAGGTCTTATGTAGAATTTCGTCATATGCCAGGTATGAACTTGGAATTATGGGAATTATTCTTTAAGTAGTCGAATATATTACATAAAAATACCTTCAAATACGGAATTACAGTCTCACGAATGGTTTGGTGTATAAAACTTTATATTCCGGTGTTATTTAATTTTGTTCTGTTGGTACCTAAATTCTATTGTAACGTGTTGATTCATTTGTTAAAAATACTGATGAGAAATGTTAAGGATTTATTTTATAGATTTTATTATTACGCTCTTAAATCAAGGTAAGAAGTACCACAGAGTAAAGGAAATATATAATTACGTGTTAGAAAATAGAATTTGTCAACAGAGTTGAGGTTATGGATACTTCGCGCCACTTCTGAGTGAACAGTTTGTGTACTACTTGGAGCTTGAAACTTCTTCCTGTCAAGTGTTGACGGTTAAGATAATGCACTTGGCTGGTCGAGGAGTGTCGCTACTAGCTTTTTTTTTTTTTTTTTTTTTTTTTGTATAGTTACGCCGATAGATTGAGAAACCGTGTTTCCCATGCAACACACGTGTTCCAAGCGAGACACTTGTGTTTCTGCAGAATGTCGTTCGTACTGTTAGCGTGGGAACGTCTGCTGGCAACTGCACAAATTTCGACCATGAATTCAGTTTATCGCCAGACTTACGTTACGTACAAGAAACTTTCTTTTCCTTATTTTGTAATCCCACGTCATTCAGACTGAAGTTTTACGTTTCTTTCATCAGTAACTCTATGAAAATGACATGACACCGGGTTCAGGGTTTGATTGTAATCTTAAATATATACAATATTGGTTGTATTTTTTTTTGTTTGCATTATTTTCACGATAATTATAAGCTAGTAGCTCTCGATATTTCAAACCAATTACTGTCACAATTCGTATTCACCGCCCTGATGATGGAAATAGCAAATACCTCTGAAACGTCGGTCGACATCAAACCAGAAAAGTCACCTAAAACATTTTTATCAGTACCCTGTTATCAAATACACTCAAGTCTGTTGTTAACTGTAGATGTTTATCAACGTTTCAGAGGTCCTTGCCGCCTCCATCGTCAGGGAATTGAGACGATGGTAAACTTAGACCATACTACACGATCCTACAGCCTATAGGAGAGCCAGCTTCAAATGTAAAGTTTTAATAACATCAAATCTTACCCTCAGTTTATTTTGACAGTGTTTGAGACGAAATGTTAACAGTTATAGAGTTGAATCATTCGATTCTAGACGTGTAATGGAACAGCTTTTAAAGAAATAGGGTGGAAAGACGATGTTCAAGGTGAAGTTTTAAAGTCGGTTAAGGACAGAGCTTATGTTTCTGGGTTCGTAAGATAAAGGTTTAATTTTTATCGTAAATCATGAATATGGAGTAGCAGAGGAATTACAATTACGGGAGAAGGGAAAGACTGAAGGACTATTGGCGTGATTAAATTACCTGAAAGAAAGACAATAATGAAATTTACGTAATACAAAAAAAATTATGTATTCTCAAAAATGGCATATAAAAATGAGCAGGAATATAAAATTTGCCCTCACTTTTTTGAACATTACCTTTCATCATAATAAAGTACATATTTACAAACATAACATTATAACAAACATTGGAATGCGTCATGGAGAATAATTTTTAAGAAATATTTCGTCCGAGTACAAGTTCTTTTAAGGCACGTCGTCTTATGATATAATCACAAATGATGTATAAAATACGTAAATGACCAAACAGTCAACAAGATTAACTTAAAATTATACAAGAAAATGTTAATTATCGGAATGTATGTGATGTGTTACGTTTTATCTCCACAAAACGTACATGCCTAGTTTTTGTTCGTTACCTGTAAAAAAAAAAAAGCTTCTACCTATCAAAACAAAACCTACTTACACTTTCATTGTCTTTGAAGAGAGAGATCATATTTTATAGGGTGAGTGTATGTTTTATTACTATACCTAAGATAAATCGTACACTCTTAAGTAAGAACAGATACCACGTCACTTTCCTGAGTACGTACTTTATCGACGTATTTAAATTTTACGAAGTTGTAAATATATTCTGCAAGTTTTTTTAAACAAATGATGTAGAGTAATTTGTCAAAATAATTATCAAAATTAAATATATTCACTGGTGGTTCAGACATTCTTAACAAAAGACGTTATTTGACAAAGTGATTCCAATAACATTAAATTACTCGTGATGATTAGTGAAATATTACTTAATTAATTTAATCAAATACAATACTGAGATATATGGCAATATGTAATTTTTTCCTTGAGGATTTCGACAATTGAACTGTAAACAATACGCTGACAGTTTCGTGTTTTTTTTTTCTTCTGCAAACATTACGTAACAAGTATTAATTACAACTTTCTAAATGCAACTAATATCATTTTATATTATTTACAAATGTACAATATTCTATAAAATATACTTGAAATCTGACTAGATAAATCAACGGTTCAAAATACGCGAGAGACATTTGTAACAGTTATCACCTAGTTTCGATATATCAGTCAAAATATATATTTTATTAAACATAGTCTCAACTTGGAAACATAATAACCGATGAGAGATTTCTCATCTTTATAAGGCACGCCTATTCTGAAAGACAGCGAAGAATTAAGCTCTTCCTAAGGCTAAGTCCATGACTCAGTCCGCCAAGGCGTTAGTAATGTCAGACACATTCAATTATCACTTCATCTTGTGGCTCTGTGCTGTTTGTTCAAAGACGGGAAGACGAATATCTGAAACAAACAGAAGATTACGTCACAAATCTGTTGGAAATGAAACGTATTTGTTTTAATATTCGGATTATTATTACGCAAACGGTAAATTAAACTAATTCCACGGACAGAGTCCTTTTTGTGAATATAAACACTGCTCTCAGCTAATCAAGAAATTCCCCGTCTTATATATAACCCAAGGGTTCATTACCTTGTTCAGAAAATCCCGCTATTGGTCCGAAACCCGAGCCAGATTAATTCATTCCACATCCTGTAGCATTATTTCCCTGTTGTACATTTTAATATTATCCTTCAGGGTTTCAAAGCAAGACGTACGTATTTCTTATATAAAATTTTTTGTTGTTGTTGTTGAAGGGGTCATTCTAATTGTGAGTTTTGCTAACACGTGCGAAATTGTAAAAGGTATAGTGTGACCCAGCGTTCGGTTCTCTGTGTCCCGGGTACAAAGGTGCCACGACAAAAACCTCCCAAACCTCCGTCGATCGTAAAGGTTCAATTTGAGATTTGGGAACACTTAAACTGTTTTTCCACTCCCCTATACGTCATGGTGCTTAATTAAACGTAGATATAATATGATTCACATCGTCCGTAACTTTATATATATTTTAATTATTTTACTGATTTTATTCAATATCATAAATAAATTTTGTTCTGTTTTATGAATTATCCTTCAAATATAGGAATATGACGTCAGTAGAAATATGTTTATGAGTTAAGATCCGATTCCAAGGGTTTTTTTTATTAAAATGTTGTATTAAGCAATAAAGATTTATTTACGAGATCTAGATTTAAAAAAAAGTTGAATTTTATACGTTATAGTAGTTAGTAATAATTAGACGATAAGATAGTGTAATTGCGTCATATTGTGAATATTATAACAATTATTTATTTTAATCCGTCTTATCACAATATTTTAAAATTTCTTATAATTAAGATAATAAAATATCATTGATGTTCCATATCGATTGATCGATTTACATTTCGGAACATTTACACAACATGTTTCAGTTTTTATAAAACCATCATCAGGTGTAAAATAT